TACTACTACTACTACTACTACTACTACTACTACTACTACTACTACTACTACTACTACTACTACTACTACTACTACTACTACTACTACTACTACTACTACTACTACTACTACTAATAATAATGATTTGGAGAAAGCACATCCCAAAGTGGTTCTTCGTCTACCCTATTCCTGGTCGAATTGGAATTTGGAAATGTTGGTTTTTCAGGAGAGGGGAAAACCGGAGTACCTGGAGAAAAACCTCTCGGAGCAAAGGAGAGAACCAACCACAAACTCAACCCACATATGGCGTCGACGCCGGGATTTGAATCCGGGCCACATTAATTGGTGGGAGGCGAGTGCTCTCACCACTGCGCCATCCCTTGCTCCCCAAGTAATGGAACGTGCAAATCAATCACAGCTTGTGGCATTTCTTACAAAAACCAATTCCTTATCAGTACATCAATCAGGATTCCGGAAGAAACTTGCCACCGAAACTCTCACTGTACATTTTGTCGATCACATCTTAGAACAAATGGATAAACAGAGGATTACTAGGTCCATTTTCATAGATCTAAAAAAAGCGTTACTTTTTATCTCGTTGACCATCATTGTGTGCTGCATAAAGTTGGACATTATGGAATTAGAGGGAAAAGTCTGAACTGGTTTAAACACTATCTTACTACTCGAACCCAGAAGGTCAAATATAACCAAGACGTGTCATCCAGTCTAGCGATTGCGTATGGGGTCCTTCAAGGATCCATACTGGGTCCGATACTGTTTGTCATATACATCAATGATCTCCCGCAAATTTTGCTGAAGTCATCGATAGGCATGTGTGCCGAAGATACGGTTATCTACTCCTCTGTCTCCAGCGCAGAAATCATCAAACAGGTTCTACAAAACGATCTAAACAATGTTGAACAATGGTTATAGCGAGGAAAAAGCTCGTACTCAATCAGAATAAGTTTATTTGACCATTCAAATGAAACCTCTTCAGCAGTGCCTTCACACGGTACTATTTGCTAAATAGTAAATTAGTTTCCAAATCTTAAATACCAAATTAGTTTCCAAATTTTTCCCAATAAAATTTGGAGTTTTTGTCTTATTTGACTTCGGTCACTTCGGGGAGTGAAAGAGTTAACGTTCATAACATTGAACTTGAACTGCCACTACGGTAGGACATTTCCGCAAAATTATTTTTTGTTTACTTAGCCTCTTCCCATAAAAAATAGCACACGATCAGTGCTTTCTGTTTACACTGGGAAACCCTTCTGGAACTGAACCGATCAAGATTACCCCAGAACGTGGAGCCGGTGCAGGTATACAATGTGGAGCTGTTCTAGGACCAAGGTTTATTGAGAAAAGCAATGCTCTTGATGTCGATGAGAGAGACGCGCGCGGTCAGGTTATACATGTAGCTCTCGCCTCCCAATTGATATGGCCTGGGTTCGAATCCTGGACGCGATGCCATACGTGGATTGATTTATTTTGAGTGGTATGCGTTAAAAAAACGGAAGTTTGACGGGAGATGCTAAAAAACGAAGGTTGAACGTCGCAGGGATTATATAGGAACCGCTCTTGAACATCATAACGATTGCAGCGATCACCAAGTGACGATCTCTAATACTATCATGGAAACCAGACTAAAGTTACATGAAGTGGAGCTTGGCTGCTTTTGAAGTGGAACGTGGTCTCACTTCCTCACTTTGATAGCGGGAGTTACATGAGTGAGTATGTCTGCTCAAGAGGAACTGCGACTGGGCTTATTTGACTTGGCTCGCGCTAAGTTAATCGAAGCACACAAGCTTATGGACGAAGCATGTGAACTCATTAACCAGGGCCTTGATAATCTTAAACCAGAAAAGTCAGCCGCTGAAAAGTTGTCAAAAACCCTAGACTCGGATGTTCACGTTGGCAGCACGATTAAGTTGAACGTCGGTGGAAAGATATATAAAACAACACTAGAGACCTTGAGAAAAGATCCGGATTCTATGTTGTGTGCGATGTTTTGCGGGAGGCATAAAGTGAAACCAGACGCCGAAGATGGGGCATATTTTATTGACCGCGATGGTAAACTTTTCAGGTAAGTTTGCGTGTGCCATAGAACGTAAAGGGAAACTGACGAACTTTACCCTCACTGAGAAGTAAAAGAAACGATACACTTTCTCCGTGAGCAGAACTGCGGAGTATTGCCTTGCTGTTACTAGGTTCTATTCATTATGACGTTTGAAATAATATTCCTTGAGTGAGTGCGTGTGGTAATAACGTGTTTGTGTATGTGTGTGCGCTTATGATCTTATCCTTGAAAAACGTAATATTTAACACGCAATAACAGTGGAATGGATGTTCGGGATCATCGTTTTAAAAACCGCTCGTTTCCGTCCAGCGATTAGAAATTAAAACTCCACTCCAGGAAGCGTCTTCGAAAAAAAAACGCCGTTTAAGATGAGAAAGAAGAAAAGCTCCCTGTCTTTTTTTTTTTTTTTTTTTTTTTCTTCTTTTTTTTAAATTGGATATGAGGGGACGCCCGGACTTTACCGTAGACGAAGCCCAACGTGCGACAGCATAGCGAGCGTCCGTCACGTGATTGCAACATCTCTTATAATAGCGACTTCTTGTCTGCACGTGCTGGCAACACGTTTTTCCTTTTTCCTTGCTTGGTGGCCATATGTAGAGTTTCTACAGAAATGATTCGGTGACTATTACAATTTGAAGGATTCTTCCTGCCAGGAGCACGCAAATGTTAAAAACCGAAATACCATATATAAGTTGAAATTTCGAAAACGTAAGTTTTTGAATCTGTTTTATGCAAATCTTCGACTGTTTTAATTGAATGTTTACACAAGTGAACGTTGCTAGCAGCATGAATTCTAACATCAGGAGCCAATATTTAATACTACGAACGAATATCGATTTCTGGCGTTACTGCTAGTGCAAGTCGAACAACACTCAAAATAAGTACGAGCAAATCGAGATTGTAAACAAAAAAACTGAGCTAAACTAATTCGATAAATATTATCATAAACGCGAAAATTTCAAAACACGACCCTTCCGAGTAACGTGCGTTATTCGAAAGGTAATGCCAAACCCTCAGCCTCCCTTCACATTTTGTAGCGAATGTGACTAAAAACATGGTTGTTTGTGCGAGGACTGATTATTCACGAAACGGACTGAAAGAAAGAGCTTCTAACAAATAACAATTGAAAAAATAGATTGCCATGTCAGCGGTTACATAGAAAACGGAGCACGCATTTGTCCTTCGATTCTACAACATTAAAAATTTTGTTTTGTTTATTTCTAACCTAGTAAATAATAAATGTTACGCTTAGGTACATTTTGAACTATCTTCGAAATGGCGAGCTCCTTTTCCCAGAAAACAAAATTCTCAGGAAAGAACTACTTAACGAAGCCGACTTTTATCAGATTCAAGGGATAATCGCTCAACTAAGTGAAAACCTAACCAAACTATCCAAAATAATAAAGAATGAAGATCATGGCTTCACTGTCATGTCATGGTTGCCTCCTTGTGCTTCTTGTACCTTGCTGTTCCGAGCCAGGATCGACGGAAAGACTGCTGCGGACTTTCACCGTTACTGTGACAACAAAGGGCCTACTCTTATAGTAATACAAAGTGGAGTATATATCTTTGGCGGCTACACATCAAAGTCATGGACATCACGTATGTGCTCCATCAATTTGTAAAATATTTCAGACTTAAGATTTATACCAGTAGAGATAAACCTTGTCACTTGGGTGTACATGGCGTGCATCATCATTATCAACATCGTCATTATCGTCATCATCATCATCATCATCATCATCATCATCATCATCATTATCACCATCACCATCGTCATCATCATCAACATCATCGTTATCATCATCATTATCGTCATCATTTTAAAGGGGCTGTGTCACGGCAGTCCAGTTCATTTTGTTTAATTTTGCCAATTACTCGCCCTCAATCGCTATGGAAATCAAAGTAAGCAAAGAAATTACATGTAAATGACAAAATCAGACATCCGAGACAAACAAATATGTCTCCTGAGCATTATTTTTGAAGTTGCAAGCAGCATGGATCAACTTTGAAACACTGTTAGGCTGAACAGTTTTCAAAACCCCTAATTTTAATCCGTTTTAATCTTCTTCAGTTTTGCCCATCCGTGGCATCTGGTGATTCTGTTATGTTATTTTAACCTTCCTTTAAAGTTTTAAACGGTTATTTTTATGTTTCTCTGATCTTAATTTGACTTGCATTTGTAATTTCCTAATTTGGCTGAATTTCATGACACAGCGCCTTTAAACGGTAAATGCCCAACAAAAGGATTTCGGTTCAGGATTTTCGCTCTTTTGTAAAGGAAACAAAACTCTACCTAAAAGAGCAAGTACTATTTTTTTTTTCTTAGGAAGATTAACATCGATTATATTCATATAAACCAAGCAACGCAGTACTACATTGTTGAAACTGAGAGGGATTGGTATCATTCAATCCATCCATCAATCAATCAATCATCAATTACTTTTAATTTCAATTAACAATTCTATTATTGATCAAGTATAAACTATTTTTCCTGAACTGCAAACTAATATCCATTGTATACAAGGTTTAGAAAATCTCCTAAGCAATTTCTTTTGAAATGTTGGTGCTTAGGTGTGGGGGGAAGAGGGCTTGCATTTTGGCTGTTTTATTCATTTATTTATTGTTTATTGTTTAGCTTCCTCCTTAATCACCTTTGCTGACACTGACTCCTTCTTGTTTACACTGGTCAATCCTGCTGGGAACCAACCGGTAAAGCTTACCTCAAAACCAGGTGGCGGAATACGATGCTGTAGTGGTAGGGGACCAGCTTTCGGTAATAAGAGCTACTACGACCTCAAAATTTGGGACGGAAATCAAGCAGGTTACCTTGATCTCGGCTACGGTTTCAACTTTCCCAGTTCCGAGAACAAAACAGGATACTTCACTGGCTCTGACGGTTTTGTGGTCACGGAATTAGAAGTTTATAAAGTGGGGTTTAAGAGTAAACTTAGCACTTGATGCTATAGTTTTATTAGTACATATCTCACTGTATTTTTGTGCAACAATTGTGCCTTTTAGCTCTGTAATGTACTTTGTGAACACCTTTAAAAAAAAAATGATTGACTACTTCTAAAATACAATTTGATCGATAATGTTTATAAAATTTCCTTCAGGAACTATATGTGGCACCCCATGACTTTGATAAGACTCTGTTTTGTACTGTTTACCTGGGGACTGGAGATCAAAATAACGACTGATACTGACCATGTTCTTGTTTTTGTTTTTCAGTTTTGTTTTGTTTTGTTTTTTTGTCATAAGAACGTCCATTTTTCGAGTTAAGCCTGGACTGTTCTTATTTTCTGGACAGTTTCAGCCTGGAAATGTTCTTTCTTATGCCCTTATATTTCAATGAAGGAAATCTGATAACTTTTTAAAGCTTCATACAGATCTGATGACAGGAATGATGTATTATTGACTACACACAAAAGAAATGTGTCGAAAGAACAAAATTTTACATGCACTCTGATTCCTTGTAGGATATTATGTAATTCAGATTTTCTGAATTTAGGAAAGTAAAAGCAGTGAAACGTTATTTTTTCTTCTCTGATTCTCGGGAATGTTCGTAGCCATTTTGGCAAATTTCAGGCATGAACGTTCCCTTGCACCAAAGCCTGGTTAAGCCTGGAGAGTCAGGTAAACCATGGTTGAACCAGACATACCAGGCTTTTTTAATTGAAAGTGGTAAAATCTTGTAAAAAAACAAAGAGTGTATATTGTAATTTCCAAGAAATGTACGTACGTACTACAGTTTTTTTTGTTCTGATTGCAGAGATCCCTGAAACTCAAACTTTTTACGTCGAATGAGGTCAAGTTCAGTGCTGTCAGAAAAAAATATAAATATATATATTAGGGTTTATGACAGGAACATTTTCAGGGAGAAATGGTGACTCGTCATGCCGTTCAGATCAAATTTTCTCTAGTTAAACTCTTGTTTTACCTGTGAGGAAGAGAAGGTGGTGGGAAAAATAAAATGAAAAATAGTTGTTACAATAATTACTGCTACCTAGGATTTTGGGAAAATCGTAAACTTGCCTTGTTTCTAAGTGTAAAGACTGTAAAAGGTGCCACATGACGGCTGTGATGTCACGTTATGGCACAGTTTCATCTTCCTTGGAAACTGTAGCACTATGCAGTCATGTCGAGAGTCCATAATGTCTGTAGTGTCCGTAATATTGGCTATATCGATTCAAAGCTGTAACTCTGAAGGTCAGATACAAAATACTGTTTAATTCAGTTGGCAAACAAGTCGAGTCTATTACACCCTCGTCGTTGCTTGTCATTTCATCGATTTATGTTTTCTATTCAAAATAACTTTCGCAAAAAGGGGGGGGGGGGGGGGGATTAGGTACATTTTGAACTATCTTCGAAATGGCGAGCTCCTTTTCCCAGAAAACAAAATTCTCAGGAAAGAACTACTTAACGAAGCCGACTTTTATCAGATTCAAGGGATAATCGCTCAACTAAGTGAAAACCTAACCAAACTATCCAAAATAATAAAGAATGAAGATCATGGCTTCACTGTCATGTCATGGTTGCCTCCTTGTGCTTCTTGTACCTTGCTGTTCCGAGCCAGGATCGACGGAAAGACTGCTGCGGACTTTCACCGTTACTGTGACAACAAAGGGCCTACTCTTATAGTAATACAAAGTGGAGTATATATCTTTGGCGGCTACACATCAAAGTCATGGACATCACGTATGTGCTCCATCAATTTGTAAAATATTTCAGACTTAAGATTTATACCAGTAGAGATAAACCTTGTCACTTGGGTGTACATGGCGTGCATCATCATTATCAACATCGTCATTATCGTCATCATCATCATCATCATCATCATCATCATCATCATCATTATCACCATCACCATCGTCATCATCATCAACATCATCGTTATCATCATCATTATCGTCATCATTTTAAAGGGGCTGTGTCACGGCAGTCCAGTTCATTTTGTTTAATTTTGCCAATTACTCGCCCTCAATCGCTATGGAAATCAAAGTAAGCAAAGAAATTACATGTAAATGACAAAATCAGACATCCGAGACAAACAAATATGTCTCCTGAGCATTATTTTTGAAGTTGCAAGCAGCATGGATCAACTTTGAAACACTGTTAGGCTGAACAGTTTTCAAAACCCCTAATTTTAATCCGTTTTAATCTTCTTCAGTTTTGCCCATCCGTGGCATCTGGTGATTCTGTTATGTTATTTTAACCTTCCTTTAAAGTTTTAAACGGTTATTTTTATGTTTCTCTGATCTTAATTTGACTTGCATTTGTAATTTCCTAATTTGGCTGAATTTCATGACACAGCGCCTTTAAACGGTAAATGCCCAACAAAAGGATTTCGGTTCAGGATTTTCGCTCTTTTGTAAAGGAAACAAAACTCTACCTAAAAGAGCAAGTACTATTTTTTTTTTCTTAGGAAGATTAACATCGATTATATTCATATAAACCAAGCAACGCAGTACTACATTGTTGAAACTGAGAGGGATTGGTATCATTCAATCCATCCATCAATCAATCAATCATCAATTACTTTTAATTTCAATTAACAATTCTATTATTGATCAAGTATAAACTATTTTTCCTGAACTGCAAACTAATATCCATTGTATACAAGGTTTAGAAAATCTCCTAAGCAATTTCTTTTGAAATGTTGGTGCTTAGGTGTGGGGGGAAGAGGGCTTGCATTTTGGCTGTTTTATTCATTTATTTATTGTTTATTGTTTAGCTTCCTCCTTAATCACCTTTGCTGACACTGACTCCTTCTTGTTTACACTGGTCAATCCTGCTGGGAACCAACCGGTAAAGCTTACCTCAAAACCAGGTGGCGGAATACGATGCTGTAGTGGTAGGGGACCAGCTTTCGGTAATAAGAGCTACTACGACCTCAAAATTTGGGACGGAAATCAAGCAGGTTACCTTGATCTCGGCTACGGTTTCAACTTTCCCAGTTCCGAGAACAAAACAGGATACTTCACTGGCTCTGACGGTTTTGTGGTCACGGAATTAGAAGTTTATAAAGTGGGGTTTAAGAGTAAACTTAG